AACTACATCCGCGTCCTGGGTAAGACGATAAACTATATCCAAAAGCAAAGCCTCAGATTAGGATGTTTTTGAGGAGCGTGGAACCACCTCTTAATTGCTGGTGTTCCAAGGTCCATCCTGACCAGGTGTGGTAGCACCTGTTAGGGTCCCAGCTATGAGCAAATAGTTAACTATTACCAGCAATACTGTTTTGAAAAAAATTATTAAGAGCAATAAAATTTTGAAGGAAATATATTACCAGAACCAGATTTTTGACAAAACAAAATATTACCAGCAATAAAAAAATTTCGGCATTAAATAACCCATTGAGGCTGATATGCCGTTAAACAAAATAAACCAGACCAATCTAAACCAAAGAATACATATTCTATTCATTCGAATCCATCCTAAAAATGTTGTCGGCATTAAATAACCCATTGAGGTTGATATGGCGTAAAACAAAATAAACCAAACCAATCTAAACCAAAGAATATATTTTGTATTCATACGAATCTATCCTAAAAATCTTGTCTACATTAAATAACCCATTGAGGTTGATATGCCGTAAAAATAAAATAAACCAAACCAATCTAAACCAAAGAATACATATTCTATTCATATGAATTTATCCTAAAAATGTTATCGGCATTAAATAACCCATTGTGGTGTTGATATGCCGTAACACTAAATAAACCAAACCAATCTAAATCAAAGAATACATATTCTATTCATACGAATCTATCCTAAAAATATTGTCGTCATTAAATAACCCACTGAAGTTCATATGCCATAAAACAAAATAAACCAAACCAAAACCTTCATAACTTAAAAAAAAAGGGGCCATCTTTTCGTTGCCTAGTGTGTATGGAGATGACCGTGTGTGTATTTACGTGTTGTTGTAATGTATTTCCTGGTAGAATATTAAAAGATCCAGTTACATGCAAACTGTGGACTTAATTTGACTAGTCTATAAATGAATTCATATATATATATATATATATATATATATATATATATATATATATATATATATATATATATATATATATATATATATATATCATATATATATATCAAGATATATATTAAACAAATTGGAGGGCACATTACATAACATTGTTGTATGTGTTGAATGTTTATATTTTGGTGAATGTTTATAATGTTTATAAGTTTTTCCACAAATGAGAAACGCTGATCTTCTGAAAATGAAGAAAAAGAGATTTACAAATCACCTTGTTTCGAGGTGGAATCCATATTTATACGAGGCCTGAGGAAAAAGAGATCGAGGCAAGAACAAATTGGTATTTATAGCATGGGAATAGAACCCCTGGTGAAGAATAAAGGGAACTAAGGAGGAAGTAAAAATTACAAAATTGGTTCATCGTTTCACATCAGGAAAGGTCAGAAAGGCCATTCCTGATGTCTGCTGATAAAAGAATTTTGTGGTATCTAAACTTTTGTTTTTACAAAAATGATTCACTCACGTTAAACAAATGTACTTTGCATTTTGTCATTTGTTCATATTTTATTATATATATATATATTATATATATATATATATATATATATATATATATATATATATATATGTTATGATTTGTTTAAAGAAAACAAATAAAGTTCTTTTGGCATGTTTGATTGATTAAATTACAGGCATTATGTCTGATTATTTTTAATAAAATCCGTTCATACTCACGAATAACCTCCCACGTATTGATATCAAATGATAATAGAAATGTGCTATAGCAATTTAAATTTCTTTTCTTTTCATTTACCAAGTACTTTCGATCTTTTTTCCAGATCATCTTCAGGAGTGCAAGTGCTACAAAACTATATGTTTTCATAATATATATGTATTTTGCAAAGCCGTGTATTATATTCATTACCGTATTTTTTTTCATTATGCCTTTAAAAATAAACGGTTGATAATATATATATATATATATATATATATATATATATATATATATATATATATATATTTTTAAAAAAATGTTCTCATTTAGCTGATTGATTTTACCTTCAGCATCCTGAATCCAGAGATTCGTAAGCGGACTTGTCCATAGTTCAAAGACATCAGTAAATTATCAACTAATTTAAACATTTATTTTTTTTTCAGGTACAGAACTTTTTATACGTCTATATATATATATATATATATATATATATATATATATATATATATATATATATATATATATATATATAAAATAGACAATAGGAAATCAATACTCATTTATTGCCGATGAACTTTTCGTTTTCAGATAATTGGAAATAGTTATCACGACATGAAGAAATTTTTGTTTTATCCTGCGAAAGTCAGTTTTTGAATATTAGTAAAAATTTAATTTTTTTTTCTTTATTAAACATTATTTTACTTATCTTATTCAATTTGTTTACATATTTCTACATATTTATTTAAAATGAACTTTTGCACACACGTTCATACACAAACAAACACACGCCTACACACACAGACACACACACACATATATATATTTATATATATATATATATATATATATATATATATATATATATATATGAATATTATTTTAAAAAAAAAATATTTTTTTTGATAAACGTGCGTTATCGACTTAAAAAATTCCATAGAATCCTTTTAAATTTTTTTATTTATTAGATTACGAAATTAGAATAAATATATATATATATATATATATATATATATATATATATATATATATATATATATATAGTAATAAATACATTTTATATCGATTTTGTTTTCATTGTTAAAAAACAAAATTTGTTATTAATAATATTAATATTATATCATTTCCTTTGATTGAACTGGTGTATACTCATTTCCTACTTGGGTCCCAACCAGAAAACCTGAGCTTTCCAAATTGTTTTCTCTAAAAATCACAAATATATATATATTTCTCAAATTGAATATAAAAAATAAATATATATATATATATATATATATATATATAGTATATAATTATTTTTTTTATAAATTTTATTAAAAAAATATATATTATGTATTTAAAAAGGAAAATTAAAAATTCAATATAATCCTTTAAATAAAAATATTGTCTTTTTAAAAAAATGGACCGCCCCGCTAAAAGATTCAAAGGTTTGATTTAACAAGAAATTCAAAAATTTAATTTAAAAATTATATTGAAGCCAAATTCTTGTTTTGAAACATGAGAATTTTATGTTAGCGATTTGGAATCATATTTTTAAATAAATAATTATATTTATGCTCTACTTTTGTATCGAGCACTATTTTTTAAAAAAATAATAACTAAAATAAAAGGGACTTTTGATTATTTTTAACTGGTTCCTTCCTATTTTCTATATATTTAAAACACACAAACACACACACACACACATAAATATATATATATATATATATATATATATATATAGTTTTTAAAAGCTCCATGGCTCATAATTTTTAAATAAATTTACTTTTCGGCGTCTTTTATTGCCATATATTAAGAGAAATCTTCGAAAGACATACATAATATATCACACGCTCGCCACCCTGAACCTCTGTTAGATGTTTTCCTCCTTGCCAAACACGCATTACTGGAATCTTTATCATACATAGAATATGTCAGCATGTTTGTCTGTTAAGAATCGGGCCAGATAATCGAGGTGTGTATGTGTGCGTGTGGACGTGTGTGTGTGTGTGTGTGTGTGTGTGTGTGTGTGTGTGTGTGTGTGTATGTGTGTGTGTGTGTGTGTGTGCCAATTATGATGTTTGTGAGGCAAATTTTGTTTCCAAAACCACCGCAAAAGAAATTGTCTAATTATGACAGACATAGCAACACGATTGAGTTTTTTTATGTCCCAAGGTGTGGCCCAATTTAAGTACCAACCTATCTATCTATCTATCTATCTATCTATCTATCTATCTATCTATAAGTCTATCTATCTATCTATCTATCTATCTATTTATCTATCTATCCCAGTATCTAATTCATCTATCTTCATTTATCTATTCATCTATCTATCTATCCATCATCTATTTATCAATCTATCTGAATGTTTACATTATCTATCTATGTATATATATATATTTCTATGTGTTTCTCTCTCTATCTCTCTCTCTCTCTCTATATATATATATATATATATATATATATATATATATATATGTAAAATGATACATATGAATGTATGTATACATATATATATATATATCATTAACATTCTAATATAACTATAAAAATATATTAAAATAATTGTCTGAATTTATTCCATTTATATATACATATATATATATATATATATATATATATATATAAAGAAATATAGTCATAAGGTGTTTATATTTATGGGATGGTTTGCTCAATATCAGAATATATCTTTGTAAATATAAAAGTGAACATATTTTCAACACTTAGAGGCGACAGTCTGTTTCTTGCTATATGCAATCGTCAGGCCCACATATATATCCCAGTTTGTTCGTATCTATCTATTTATATAGATAGATAGATAAATAGATAGATAGACAGATATATATGCAGTTTTAATCTAGACATTAAAGATTACTTGCACTGGATTTTCAGAAATATAACGCATATATATATATATATATATATATATATATATATAATAACACACACATACGTACAAACACAAACATATGAAAAAATATATTTCTTCATATAAATTTATATATCTTTATCCCATATATATATAAATATATATATATATATATATATATATATATATATAAAAAGAAATCCTAAAGAGACACCAAAAAACCCACCTTTTTTAAATTAAACGGATGTTCATGCTAAGCTGAAATTTAATATATATATATATATATATATATATATATATATATATATATATATATATATATTAAAACGGACAAATTTTTCGACAATTATTTTAATTTTTTTTTTATGTTTATACATTCTTTTAGAGATACAAATATTTAAAT